CCAGTCTTCCCTGCCTTCCCCACAGAGCTCTGCAAGGTGCCGCTTGCCTGGCTTTCAGGGCTGCCCCCGGCGAGGGGCTCGCCTGCAGCTCCGGTGCGCTGTCATCCCCCGGAGAGCCAGCGCGCCCGCAGCCGGGAGGTGACTGCGTCCTGCCCGTGATCGAGCTCCTTCCACGTCTGTCAGCTGGGGATATGCGAGGGAAAACAACACTTTGTGGAAGTGCAAGTTTTGCTGTGTGTACAGTACAGCATGCTATCTAAACAGTAAAACATATATATATAGTAAAGCATACACAGCAAGGCATATTGGATAAATGGTAAAACATATATAGAGATTTGTATATAAAAATATATATAAAAAATTTGAAAGTTCCCGGCCTCTCTCATAAAAGCGCTTTCCTGGTGGACTTGAACTGAGTGTTCCAGTGTTTCCTTTCCGTCTGCTTGTGAATCAGTCAAGACCCATTGCTTTTATGTAAATAAATTATCACCACTAATTATTTCTATAAAATGGAAGAACGAGGGAATTGGGAAGAAACATTGAGAGTAAGCAAGAGGCTTTTGAGAGTCTGTATTGCAAATTGCTCAGAAAAGCACTTTGGAAAAAAATACATATATTTTTAGAAATCTTCCAATTTATTCTGGAACGGGGAAAACTTCAGCATTCCAGAAATGAAAAAGGCCACCTGTTTGTCTGCAGCTGTCCTGCAAAACAGCGCGGTGCTGCTGGCGACTAAGAATATCTCCACTTGCCGAAGTGGCATGCACTTGGCATTTTATTCGGCGTTCGGTGCAGACAGAGAGCTTGGCTGGCTTTTGTTTTCCCCGAGTTTATCTGTATATCTCATCCAGGCCACGCAGCAGCACGTCTGACAAACGATGGTTCCACAGGAATAAGCTGCAGGTCTGGTCTGCAGTGTGGATACAGTGAGAATATTTTGTATACTATTGTGGCAGATGAAAGGAATGGAAGCGGGCCAAATTCACGCTGTTTGCCATTGCATCTGATCAGCAGATCCTATGGAGGGAATTTGCCTGCTGTGAATATTTGATTCTCGCTAGCTTGAACTGTCTTCTGTGTTGGCAGTGCTACTGTGTGAATTTGCAGTGGCTTTCCAGGGTGTCTGTCCTGCACAACTGCCAATTTCTGTGGGGTTTTATTACACAGTTCAGGGTTTTGTGCTCCACTTTGTGTGTGAGGAAGATGACTTCATGCTATACAGTGAGCGTTTTTTCGTATTTGTAGCACATGGGTTACAAGTCTTTTGAAAACAGCAAAAAATATTATTACAAGTGAGCAGCATATTATTTCTCCCCCCCGCCTCCCTCCCTCCAGTGATTTTGTAGAGGCGGGTCTGTGAGGTTACACACCAGAAAGGATGAAAAGGTGAAGGCGTTGAAATGCATTTGTGAGAGCAGGAGCAGCTTTGCGGTCCCGTCCCTCCGTGCATCCTTCTGACTCGGGACGCGGGGAGTCACTGCCCCGCACCCCTGTTCATCCTTCCCTGCTCCTCCCCGGCCCTTCTTGCTGGTTCGTGGCTGGCTTTGCCCGAGAGTTTGTAATGGTTTGGGTTTTGGTTAGTTTTTCTGTTCTGAAATTCAGCATATTTATGTGAATAACTTTTGCATTTCTAATGCTGACAAGTAAATGGCGTTGCTTATAATGCTGATGCAATAGCAACTGTCAGGACTCTGCTTAGGCAGGCAGAAAAGGGTTGGGGTTTAACCTGTCAGTGCGTCCTGTGCTTGTGCCCTCTGTCTGTCACCACGCTGAAGCGTTTGTCTTCTGTGAGCAGCCTGTTTGGAGTTCCGGTCATTTTATAGATAAAACATAGATAAAATTTGGTAGCTATCTATAGATTATAGATTTCTAGATACGTATAAATATCTAGATTTGTAGATTGAAAAATTTACAGATAAAAAAATAGATAAAGTTTGCAAAAGAAACGTAGACTGTAACCTGTAAGCTCACTTCTCCTCTGGGTGTATGAAGGACAAAAGCCAGAAGAGTTTTGATCGAATAGCAGCGTGGGCTAAAACCCGGAGGAGCCGGTTGCGGGTCCTCTGGGGCTGTAGGAAACGGCCTGCTGACCGAGTGACCCATCCTCCGTCTGCTCCAGCCCTGTGACTGCAGCGAGTAACTGCTCAGGGAGAGGCAGGATCATCTCCATTGAATGTATTGAGGAGCCAGGATGTTGGTGCCTTGCAGGGGCTGCTGCTCTTGTGTCTTTTGAGACCACAGTAAAAGATGCCGCCTGCTAGCTGAGGCACGGCGGCTGGCCGGGCTGCGATCCTTGCCGTTGCAGTGTGACCCATATGTGTGACCTGTTTAACTCTGCCAAGTTGTAAGGAGCTGGGCATGCACGTAAGGTGTGGGTTTTCAGTCACGTACGTGAAGTAAGGATGTTTTACATACATGGCTGCTTGTAAACATTTTTTCCCCTTTTTGAGTTTCTTCAACAGCAACAAAGAAGTGGCACTTTAGAATAGGTGACTATAAAAAATGAGTAGTTTTAGTGAACAGATATGAAACTATAACTTCTCTCAAAACATGTAAGCAAAGTTTTCTGAGAGCTGAAGAAACCAGGACTTGGCCAATGCAAGGTGTAGTAATCCTGAGAGAAAGCTTTGTGGGAGCTGGGTCTTAATAGTAAGGCTCCTTTCTCCGTTTAGTGGCTTAGGAGTGGATTTCTCCAGTGTCTTCACAGAGCTAACAAATATGAATTTCAGCTGTGCTGGAGTGAACCAGCAGTTTAGTTTTGCAGTAGTGTGAGATACATTTTGGCTTGGGGATAGGCAGCCTAGGCAGGTTTACTTGAGTATCTGGTTATTGTTTGGGGTTTTTTTAAATCCTTTTAAACAAATTGCCATATTTAAGAACATTGAGAAATAAAAGCCGTGAGATTGTTAACAAAACCAAAAGCTTCTCTTGGTGCTCGCTGGTTGCATCCTGTTGGCATGCGTGGTTATTTGTGCCCATACAAGATACCAGCTTTCTGAGGAATTGTGTGGGTGATGTGGTGGTGTTTGTCACTGTTGGCAAACGTTATATTTATGATGACCATCAAAATAGAAACATGTAGTAATATGGTTGTGATACTTTTTTTTTTTTTTTTTGAGAAGTGGAAGTTTGTTCATCAACAGAAGACCCAAGTTTCCAAACTGCATGGCTGCCAAATGGCAGATATTTTTATTACTGCTGTTCATAACTTTGATGTGAACTTTTGGCATAAAGATGGTGCAATTAGTTATCCCCGGAGTTCCCCCTCCTTTGATTGTTTTCTAAACCTCTTAGGTTACTGGGTCCTGTATGTTTTTGTTAGGAAATATTGTTAGGAACCTTTTTTTTATGCTTTTGCATTTTTATTAGATTTACATTGCTCCACCCACCATTTGGAAGTGAACAGAACTGTCCTCCATCAAAGGCTAACAAGAGTTATTCACGATGCAGTTGGAAAAATTATAATGCAAACAGTAAGCTAGATGGGGAATTTTACAGGCATCTTTCTGAGTCGTGAAGGATGCTGTCCCTCTGGTTTATGGGCTCTCTGCTCTCTTGACTGCTGTTCCTTTCCCCCTGGCTCCCCTCCAGACCTGTTAATTTTCAGCCAGAGAAGAAAGGGAGATTTGGGCTCCTCTAAATTTCCAAGTCTGTATTTTTTTGTGCGGTGTGGGTGGTGACAGCGAGCTTTGTGTGCAAGAGCGTTGGCATGCAGAGAGCCGCAGTGATTAGCATGCCGATTGCTGTGCCCCGGCAGAGTAAACAGGGCTGCTCTGGCTGAGCTGTGGCCGTGCCACCCAGACAACAACCTGGGAGCAGACGTGGGGAGAGCCCTGCTCCATCATGCAGGGCAGGCAGGGGCTGAACACTGCCCCGGCTCCTCTGCATCCCAGGTTTTACAAAAATTGAGATCTCTGCCCCACGCTGTGGTTCTGCTCCTCTCTGACTCTTCCCGTGGCATCTTACCTCCAGTTGGAGGTTGGAGATGAGACGCCTCGGAGAATATCAAGCTATATGTTATATCCTTACTTGTCCACGCATCTACTGTTGCAGTTGCTGATCTAGCAATTTATATATCTAAAAACTTGTTCTCTAGTGACCTTCGTGGTTTATCTGCCTAAGAAAGATTCACTGGTTCTGTAAAAGGGGGGCAGTGTACATGCATATGTGTAAGTAAGTATAAAACATATGTTAAATGTATATGCACACATAAAGATTTAATCCCCTTGGTGCAAACCCATGTGTCATCACTCGTGTGTGGTTTGAGAGAGGCTTATATCAGTTTGTGCTTAATCTTTCTTAGCTGTTGATTTTTGGTTTTTACACTCTAGTAAGTGTAAATCCTCCATAAAAAGTGTTATAAAGATGGTGGTGTTTCTTCTTAGAGATAGTGGTCATGCAAAGTGTAGCTTCAAGCGTTTTTCTTTGGGGAGAAGACACCCCCCTCTTTTCCTAGTGGCTTCTGGCTGGTTGAGGTTGGAGAGGCAAGAGACTGGTCATCCTAACTAGGAGTAACTGGCTTGTTCATATCAACATGCATAACGTTTTCTGAACAAACTGCTGGCTTAAATGGTGGTGGGCTGTTTCGTATCTACCCTGCCTGCTCCCTTCAGAAATCCAGCCTATTCTTTTCTGCCCTGCAACATGCTGAAGCTGTGCTGGCAGCCTGCAGCAGTAGGTGGGGAAATTAGCAGGGCTTTTGCAGTTAAAGAAGCTGCCAATATCTGGGTTTGGAAAGAGAAAAGTCAACAAGCTTGTTGCAGTTACATATTTAGAAAAAAAAAAAGTTTTGTTTCATATTTTTCTGGTTTTTAAACAAAACATGTACTGTCTACTTAAATTATGTGACTGGAAATGTCTTTGCTTTCTTTGGTTCTTCATTTAACTGATGGTACAACTGGTTTTGAGCTGTTACTGGGTCAGGGAGAGGTTGGTTCAGTAGAATTATTTTTTTCTATTAAGAAGAGTTAAAAATATTTTATTTTTTTGCCTCATTTCAGGATAATATCATCTTATTCTTAAGAGGCTGCAAAGAGCTGGGGCTTAAAGAATCTCAGCTTTTTGATCCTGGTGATCTGCAGGACACATCAAACAGAGTAACCATCAAGTAAGTACAACAGCAGTTTGCGATTAGCATGTTAAAACCTCCACTGCATGCGATGCAATGGTAAATATTTAAGGATGAGCAAAAAGGCTATAGAATTGTCATTGATGTAAAGCAAATAGGAAGCTCGGGTTTGGGAAACCTTCAACCCTGGGAAGAATATGTTGTTCCTTTCAACAGGCTTTCTCTAGGGGCTGTTATTTTTCCCAGAGAGATCAACCACAGCACTTTTAAAATACTGTTTTAGTTAAGCAATTAGATTCTGTGGGACTTAGGGGTTTTCCAGAGTCTGAATTGATGGCATTCTTTTTTGTCTGTCCAGCTAATGAACTATGTAGGCTGGGGGGGGAAAAAATCACAACTCTGTTATTTCAGATTAAACTGTTTTGAAGACACTTTATAGGACATTTATAGGCCTCTCGGACTCTACAAGGTACAGACGTGAGCACGGCCTGTTGATTTTCTAACAAGAGCTCTAAGTTGGGACATGATACTTGGGCTGAGGATGTCTGTGTGAACTGGAAGTGCTGCAGTTTAGCTACTTCTTCACTAAAGCCACACACCTACTACAACGTGAATTGCCACACATGTATGAAGAGTTTCTCTTTCCTAATTACTAATTCCTGGGCTTTTTTGAGGGTGAAGTGATTTTTTAAAAACCTCCTTATAATCAACAACTTTTTGGCCATGGTGTGTGCTGCAAAGAGTTCTAGGTGCTTAGACTCCAACCCTTGTATTTTCAGCATTTTACCCCACAAAGTGTTTTAAAATATAGGTGTGAAACTGGCACAAAAAGAATTACTGACTTGCCTAAGGTCACCCAGAGCAGATTTGAATCAAAGTCCATATAGTCATAGACTGAGGTCTTAAATAGGAACTGTTGTGCCTTTCAGAGAAGATTTTGTCATCGTGGACTACAGGAACAGAAGCAGTCAAACTGTTTTTCTCTTGTTCATATTAATGGCAATCAAGCTCCCCACATCCAAAAGCAAGACCACTCCATACTTTCACAAAATTAGCAAAATTGCTAATTGGTGTTATTTAGAAGTTTTCCTGAAACTGTGGGTCTATCTTGTAATATGAAAAAGTTACTGCTGTACAGACAAGAAAATACTGCTGAGTTGATTGAATGGCCTTGCTTCATTTGGGAAAAAAGATTTGCCCAATGAGATCACTAATGAAATCCTGGTCAGACATACCCGTTTTAGAAAAGTATATGGAAACAATTCACAAAATTTCAGCGGCATTCTGTTTTTCTTTTTCCCCTTCTGGCAGTGGAAGCTGGGCAAGTTCTTATGGTCTTCAAGCACTGTCTGGGAAAACTCAAAGGTTACGAAAATTGAATTGGCCACTTCCCTTGTTTTAAGGAATAATCTCCCACTTTTTGCTCCTTTCCAAGTTTCTGGCTGTAATATGAGGTTCTTCTCGCCTGCACATACCAGTGAGAGGGGACTACGTAACGTATTTCTTCTAAATCTGGTAATATTGCAATGAAACAGGTTTCATCATGATGTCCTGTAAAATCCTGACAATGAGTGGCTGGAGGGAGTCGCAAAACAATCCCTAATCTCGATATAAACCCCTAATCTCCATATAGAGCCAGAGAGAAGGGCTCTTTCTGATAGGAAGCTTGACCTTTTGGGGTTGAGGATGGTGGAGCACCTGGGAGGAGGCAGGCTGAGGGGATCCGTCCAGGCCTGGGATGGAGCTCCAGGGAGAGCTGTCCAGCGCGTAGGCGAGTTGCACCAGGAGCGATAAACTCCACGGAGCTGGCGTGGCCCTCTGCCAAATACCATGCTAGGTAGACGTGAAGTGTCTCACTGGCATGGATTTTTTTTTTCCCTCCATCAACTCTTCAGAGAAAGCAGCTGTGGAAATGAGCCAGATGTTTTCCTAGCACTGTCCAAGTTCATGCTGAGTAACCGAGTTGAGGTGTACAAGCCAAGTCCATGACTCTTGTGGAGAAATATGTTCAAGACTGTCTTCCGCTAGCTAGTTCCAAAAGCATGAAGGTGATTTTTTCCCCCCACCCCTTTCAAGACTTTTGGCTTATTTTCTAAACATGGTAAAAATGGTATTTGTTCTGTGGTAAAGGATGAATAGGACATTATTGCGCATGATCAAGATAACGACATTTTTAATCATTTTTTTTCATATAGATGTTAATTAAAGTATGCATTAGATCTATTTTTTTTGGAACATTCAGCTTATAAAAGTTATGAGCTAATGCTGTAAAGAATTTCTTCTTGACTTTTTAAATAAGACTCTTTTCCACTCTTTTTATTAAGAAAAAAAATAGGACTGTTCTGTTTTTCTTAGTATGTGGGTATAGGTGGATAAAATTTTGACCTCAAAAAGATGTTATCAAAAATACTTTGATGTAGTATCGCCTGTATTTAGGCTTTTGTTTTTCTCACAGATTTAAGTACTTTTATTCTTGTTTTTATCAGGTAATCTGTAATGCTGGAGTTGACTTACTGTTATAGTAGAAGGCAAATCCATTATAAATAATCAGGAGACAGTGTGTACTAAATCTGAAGTGCTCTTACTTATTTTTAAGCACCTAAATGTGATATACATTTCCTCCATTCTTTTTTTAATGGTTTCTTTGCTGAATTTTGAAATGTTGGTTAATTTGTGCAAACCTACTGCTTTGCTGTTTCCAGCATAAAACTTTTCACTCTTTGAACGTTGGTGAAAAACTAAATTAAGAAGAATGCCGACATTCAGTCTCAGTCCTCAAGTATACATTCTGAAAGTAAATATGTTTTCCACAACAGGTTCTGTTGCAAGTGGCAGGATCTTTGTTGCTTCACCTGTCTGCTTTGTTCTTTGCTGTGCGTTTTGCCGCAGAAGCACCTGCTCCATTTCCTAAATGTTTGGTGATGATTTCCTCAGTCTCCTATGCATGTTCAGTTGGTTCCATAATCTGTGTGGGTCTCAGGATTTACCACAGAGCCGATCCTGGCTGTTGGATTACTGCAGAACACATTTTAACAGCGAGGACTTTGCTCTTCTTCTTTGAAGAAATCAGCAACACTGTTTAAAGGAAATATTTTTAGCACCATCCGACTTTACTGTGGGACCATTATAAACACATTTGCTTTTTGTACTTCCAGAATTCTAATTTAAGGATTGAATTAATGGTGACAAAATACTCCCACGTTATGAATAAATGAATGTGTGAACTACATCTTCTCAGCTTTCATGTGTTTCCAGACAGCAGAAGCATTCTGCAGGCTTTTGTTAGGGAAAATGTGATCTGCTGCATGTACGCTCTTGGAAAGTGTGTCTGCTTTCTGATCATATTCTTTTTTCCTCTTTTTGTGTGTGTGTGTATCTGCAACCAGGAACATTGACTATAGTAGGAAGCTGAAAAATGTAAGTACATGACTTGGAGTATTTTTTTTCCTTTGTCTGGTTAATCCTGTATTTGGCTTGAGTTTGGCCTGAGCAAGAATTATGTCATTAAAAACTTTGTACAGATGAGTATCGCTGCAAAGTTTTTCTAAACACAAACCTAACCAGGTTCTACTGCAAACTTTGGTAAAGCTGTTATGGCAAAACAGCCTTACTACAGAAATATAATGGAGAATGTTTGTCTCTGCTTAACGGAGGGATAAAGAATGTGATCTGTGTGCTGTCCATCGTGGTTTTCTTTGGGAATGGTCTGACTCACCCACGAAGCTGCGCTTTTGTAGCCTTTCATGAATATGGAGTCATAAAGTAAACTTGCACAAAGTATTTAAAATGAAGCAAAATGATCATTAGATCTTGATGAAAGTCTGGATGCAGCGTCAGATTTGCTAGCTTTCTGGTGGTTCTTCCAAATAAATGAGTGTTTTCCCAGAAAGGCAAATTCCATTTATTTTTTGTTGATTTAAACCAATAGCAATAACAATGGATCTTGTAATTGCAAAGTAGAAAAGAAAATAGCTAAACTTTGCTGGTCTCAGAGTTAGTTATTATCCTGTAGCCTAGCAAGCTGTCTGTCCTTAGTCAGCTGTAAACTGCTATAAATTCATTTTATATTTGGCTCATATACCTATAAATGGCTAGGAAATGCCAAGACCTTTTCCTAATAACTTTGAAAGCCAGTAATCATGACTGCAGGTAAAAAAATAAATAACCCCCCAAAAAAACATAATAAAACCCCCAAATTAATTTATTCTGTCTTTCCCAGCATCATTTTTTTACTGAAATTTCTTTACTGAGAGTTGTGAAGCACTGGAACAGACTGCCCAGGGAGGTGGTTGAGTCACCATCCCTGGAGGTGTTTAAAAAATATGTAGATGTGGCACTTTGGGATACGGTTTAGTAGGCATGGTGGTGTTGGGCAGATGGTTGGACTTGATGACCTTAGAGATCTTTTCCAACCTATGATTCTATGATCAGAGTAGTATCTTCTGCCTCCAGCACACAAAGTTGCAGGAGAAGTGTTCAGCTTTGACATTTTAGAACCCTTGTGGGCACTGGCTAAATATCTTTCTACAGATGTATTGTTTTAAAGGTAAAGTTTCAGAAGTATCCTCCACTACGTGCTTGTAGGCAATATGTGCTTTCCAGGTGCATGATCCTACCACCTCGGCTGGCAGCCAGTGTGACATTATTTGGAGCAAAAGAAAACGGATAAAGAAAGGAAGAAGAGAGAATGCTAGCAGAAATAAATAAAAATACCACAACCTTCATCAGAGAACTGAATGGCAAAATGAATCGGACAGTTTCCTGGTTGCTAGGAATAGTATATTTGCAAGTGTTTTCACTTAACTTGAGAACACGTACTGTAAGAATTTCTTACATAAATTTTTTGAGTGGTGCTGGTTGAAGGAAGACAGCTCAGGTAAAGGTTGTTTCAAGACAAAAAAGATCAGTATTGGTGAAACCACCTCCTTTCCCCTTTTTATATTTTAAATTAGGCACCACAGTTGTTTTTAAACAGGGGATCTGTGTGCCACACGCTGTATACTTTTCTGGCAGGATTTCGGACATCAGACTTAAATGAAAAACGGGGATGTCGGAGAAAGTTGATGAGAAAAGGCTAATCAGAAATCTATCGTATGTGACTGAGGAGGAAGCACTGAAGGAGTGTGGGTGTAGGTTTTAGGGAAGAAGAGTCTGGCAGAGATGTCTGTCCTCAACGTCCCCTTGGGATTTCTCCTAGTCCTATTTTCTTTAGCTCACTGTATAGTATGAATTATATGGCCCTGTCCCATCAAAACATAAAATACTGTATTTCAGTTTATTTAACTTTTTTGGGATAGTTAACGACAACTATTATTTATTATTGGTTGCACATCTTTTCCACATCAAAATATTTCCAGTTTGTTCTGCAGTTAAATAATTTGCAATGTCACAGAATATGCAGAAAGAACGGGCAGGAAGTGAGAAAAAGCCCCAGGTTCCGAGGTGATGGTTGGGCATTTCTAACCAGTGCAAAACACTGAACTGAATTGCCTTTGACAATCAGTTTCCAGTCCAAATTGCTGCTGTACAAGTACCATTAAAGGCGTTGCTTTAAGTGGAGACAGATGTGGGTGCAGAGAAGGACTGTGTGCTTTCCCTGCGTGATATAAATGTCAACGTTTTTGGAGGTGTTGGATTTGACCATCTCCTTTCCTAAAACAAGTCCAGCACCAGCAGTGTCAGGTCAGATTTCTTTGCTACCTAAAGGAGTGAGAGGGTATATGAACATTTGCAAGAGCAATTCTTGGCTTTTTTCCCGCCCTGGTTTTGAAGTGACTTTTGAGTTATGGAGAGACATCAGGAGACAACTTGAATGAAACCACCACT